CTCTTCATCCACAGAGCATGCTCACTTCCCCACGAGCCCCTTCCAGGAGGAACTCCACGGGTGGGTCCTTGGTGACTTGCAGATGCCAGACCAATTACATATGAGGAATTGAGGGGAAGAGAGAATGGCCATTTTCTCTCCACCCCTTGCCCTGGATCCATGGAGGCTGCAGCGGGTAAACACTGGTGGATGTGTTAATCAACAAAGGCCAGGCACGAGATTCTGGAATTCTGTGATTTACCCCACAACTCCCCACCTCTCAGAATTCTCACCTTACAATATATGTTACTCCAATATTCCGCAATGGCCTCTGTGTGAGAAAACTGGAGTACTGCAACCAGACTAATAACATACAATAACAGGAATTATGGTACAAATAGCAATAAAATCATGATCATTATCAAGTTTGAGGACCTTGCTAGGTTCAAATTCCTATTCAGGTAAGTCTGTAGCTCACCCATCCCACAGGAGGCCAGCAGCTGAACTGGTAGGAAGCTCCATACACACTCAGCAAGCAGCAGCTGTGGCTAGGAGGCAGCCCCAAGCTGCAAGGACTGTAGAAGAAAATAAACTTAAGGGCAATAAGATATATGTTTCAATGACACCAGTATATGCAATCCTGGCCACTGGGTAGGATGCGTGCAGAGAGTGGTCCTGTGATGGGACAGTGACAGGAACAGAGTAGATGCAGCACTACTGGAAGCACAGGCATTGGCTACAATCATAAGACAGACTCCTCCATAAACTGCTTTTACCATCCAGCCAGTTGGATGCACTATTGTGACCTTTGGGGGCCACTCTATAGTTACTCCAGGAACACAAAAGAGGAGGTCAGCTTCCAGGCTATGTCCCCAAGTTGCCAGAAGGGCCATCCATCACTGGCCTATGTGTTAAATGTCCAAGGCCATATAGTCTCCAGGTTGCTGTGGGTCTCAGTCAAACAATGCACTCCTGCCAGGCAAAGGCAGTCCTCACTGATGGATTACAGCCCACATTGTCTTCTTCCCTGACCAAGTCATATGCTCCATCATTCCCTGGGGTTGCCAAGGCAAAGGGCCTTAAATTTGCTGTCAGAGACCCCAGTCACACAGACATCTAGTTTGTCCATTTTGCAATGATGCAGGTAACTGCACAAATTTTATCCCAGCCTCATCTGATTGATTCCCTTGCATGCCAAGAGGCACAAGTGTTTCATAATTTGTGTCAAGTGTGGGATAAACACTCTCCAATAGCCTACAAGACCCAAAACCCCTTGCAATATTGCCACAGTTATCTTCAAGAGAATCAGAGGTGAGCATAACATCATATACAACATTAGATTCCTTATTCCCAGAGGGATCCAGGTTTAATCTACTTTGACAGCCCTCTCCCTGTATAACAGTGGGGGCACCAGGTCACTGCTCAGGATCACGATAAATCAGAGAGCCTCCAGCTCATGAATCCACCAAAGCCAGGACAGATTACACCTTCACTGGTGGTGGATCATTTACTCAACATGGGGCCTCTGTCACAAGAGGCCCCTGCCAGGCCCCCATGGCAGGTGCCTTGACCTTCCCCTCAGTCAAACTCTAATGCCCAATCATCATTCTGGCAAGGAGTCAGGCACATTCTGGGTGTTCTCCCCCAGGAAGCCCTGCAATATGTGGGATGGACATGGGGCTTTGCCTCTGGCTTCCATGTCTTGGGCCTCAGTGACTGGAACCACTACTCTAGCTTCAATGGATGCCACAGCTCTAGCAAGAATCCACTGGACTGTCCATCAGGTTTTTCTTTCACTGCCCCCACCTTTATCAAATCAACCCACATCTGGGTACTCAAGACCTTTATGGGACCCTTTGAGCTTCTTCTTCCAGTTGCAGACTGTATTTCCTTCCGTGATCTTATTGTTTCAGTCTCCCTCTGATCTGCTGTAGTATGAGTAACCTCACTATGTGTTGCCTTAAATGTGGGGCAAGAATAGTCACTAGGGACGCAAACAGGGATGGGGTAGCTGTATGGAGCACCAGATTTTTCATCCCCACAGTGATCAACTCCTCATACAGGCCCTGAGGGTTCATACTGCAGATAATATTTTTCATGTCCAACTCCCATAGAACATGCTGGAGCTCTTCATATATTTTCCAGCTAGAGGGGAAATATGGTAAATCACCCTGATTAAGCCAAATTGCCCTGAGGGCTGCTGTCAGACAATCCAAAAGCACATGATTCCCTGGGGTCTGATGAGCGTTTTGTAACCTCTCCCAGGGAGAGGGGAGAGTCATCAGGGAAGTCGGTTTACCCAATCCTGACCCAGACAGAATAATATCCTCTATACCTAAACCTCAAAGATGCAAAAGCCATGTGGGTACAGGTTCCAAGGGCTTCTGTCAAATGGGGTACTCAAATCTACCAGCTTGGCCTGGGTATAGGGGCAGAGATTGAAATGCTCTACAGCCTTGGGTGGGGGCTGCTCCTGTCCCTGAGGAACCTGTGGTTGTTGTATCTTTATTTTCTTAACCACAACCAGGTTGGCTTTCAATATGGGAGGGGTTAGTGTTTCAGGTGGTGGCCTTAGCAACAGTTCTGTCCAGAGATGCACCCCCTTATCCTTCCCCAACTCCTGCCCTGACATCTCTACCCTCTCTGGGATGAAGGCACTACACCTTCCCTCACCTCTCCCATGGCCCCTTGCAGCTCACATTTTTCTGCTGCCTCCTCCCTCACCACTAGGATGTCTCAGGAGTACAATCTCAGTTCTCAGTAGCTCTCATTCCTCTTTCAAATATTCACACAACTCATCTCCATGTTGTTCCAGTTGACATTGAAGTGCTTCTCTTTCTTTGGTAACCCTTTCCAGTGCCATGAGAAACAGCCACCCCACATATCCTGCTGCCCTGCAGCCACTCAGTCACCCTAAAGAGTTCCCTATTTTGCAGAGGGCCAATGCTACTGTATTTGGTGTCTCCACTTCTTGGGATAGGCCCACTCTCTCTAGGAGGCACTTTACCACAGGCCAAATGCCTGGGTGAATCCCCACACCCACAGTGGGTTACCAGGTATCTTGCCACTGCCCACAGGGTTTCCAAGGTATTTCCCCACCATCTCTGTGGGAATCCCATGCAAACATTGCACCCATGAAGACAGATTTCTTGTTCACCAGATTCTACTGACTGACCCTGGATGTAGCTCTGTGAGGAGGGGTGTTCCCAGCCCAGGGCAAATCCCCTATGAAACCACTGAAACCAAAATAAATCAAGTGAAAGGATAGATTGGGAGAAACCATTTTTATTGGTCACAGCTTGCTTGAATTTGCTAGCAACAACCAGCCCCATCTGTCTCCTCTGGCAAGTCTCATGCTCTGCCCACATGACATGCTCTCTACTTCCCACCCTCTCCTTCCAGGAGCAACTCCATTGGCGGGTCTTTGGTGACTGGCAGATGCCAGACCAATTATGAGTCAGGAATGGAAGAGAGGAGAGAATGGCTGTTTTCTCTCCACCGGTTGTCCCATATCGATGGGTGGTGCTATAGTGGTGAACACTTATTGCTATGTAAATGAACTAGGGATAGGTAGGGGATTCTGGAAATTCTGTCATTTACCCCACATGTTTTGTAATTTTGAATGGCTTCTTAAATTCACCTAATTGTACAGTTCAAATATGTGTGGCTTATCACAGGTAATTATACTCCAGAGCATTCATTCTCAGAAACAAAAATCTAGTGGTGCATTGATCACTGTAAGATCTAGAGCACAGATAACTGATTCTTACTGAGCAGTGGTATAAGATATACCTTCTAACTGGGAAGAAAGCAAAGTGTTATATATGGATACAGGAACAGTAGAAGTGAATTCGATGATTCACATTTGTTACTCTTCTCCATGATATAGAAGGTAAAAATGAGGATATAAACTGAATACAAGAGATAAAAGCACCATGGCCACATGTCATGTATGAGCCTTAGAAACACAATGTAGACTCATAGCTTAGAACAACTTAGCATACAAATAAATCCTTTCATTTTTTTAGTATGAATTGTTATGCAGCAATAGTTAAGTGATGCAATAGTCAAAGAGAACAGAAATAAGTACAATTCTAATAATCTTCCACTGCTTATTGTTAGCATTTGTTATTATATTTGAAGGCAACAACTATGGTTACTCTGTTATTTAGTATATTTCAGACAACTGTTTTAAACAATGTCTCATGGGTTCCTTCCCAGGTAAGCAAGACAGGTTTAAAGACATGTATGTTTATGTAGGAAAAGTGGTGACCCTGATCAAAATGACTTGACAAAAATTAAAGATGTCTTTTGGGTCATTCTTTAATCATAAAGTTAAAGAGATTCCTCAGCTTAAAGAGCTATATAATGAATAATGCTGATAATGATCATTCACCACCACTTTAGTGGTTATGACAAATCTTAGAAACAGGGTGATATTTCATTTAAAACAATGCAGAGTCAGCATCACTAGAAGTTTTCCCACAGAAACAAATATAATTCAAGAAAAATTACTTTTAGAAGTCCGTAGGTCCTTCACACATATGTATAAACCCCCATACACATGGGCACCAATCCTCGATCATCCAATGAGTAGATGAACAGCATGAAAAGTCTTTTGGACCTCATGCACCATAACATACTGCAAGATTTAAAACTTTGCTACATATCATATTTAAGGTTATCTCTGGCTGAAGCCATGTACATCAATCCATTCATTAAAATTTGTCTTTCAATGAAGACCCTCTTAGAGACATGCATTTGAAGACTGGTTTTTCACAAGGTCTACAGTGGGCATCATGACACTGAGCTGAATAGGAAAATGGATCCTAATTAGGAGAATAAAACCCAATGACCAGCTATAAGCTGCATTATTTATAAAGAAGACTTGTTCAGGTAGAGCAGTTAACACAGTGATGTAGAAAGAACTGATGTACACATAAATGTAAGTAAGTATAAACTCTACTTCCACAGTCTGATAAAATAATTACAAGTCCTGACTCAGGATTTGAGCTCTAAGATCATGAGTACTCTTTCATCCCCAGGGGAAGTGTTCCCTTTAATGTACTCAAAGCAAGTGTTTTCAGAGCTCCCTTTATGTCTTTATTTCTGAGACTGTAGATGAAGGGGTTTAGCATGGGTGTGACCACAGTATACATCACTGAGGCTGTTGCACTTGACTGTGAGCTCTGTGTAACAGCAGAACTAAGGTACACACCTAGACTTGTACAATAAAATAAGGACACAACAGTGAGGTGAGATGCACAGGTGGAAAATGCTTTATACTTCCCCTTAGCTGATGACATCACACTTATGGAGGACACTATCTTAGAGTAGGAGTAAATGATCCCAGCAAGGGGACCACCAGCCAGCAGCAGTGATGCAAAGTATATCACTATGTTGTTGAGAAAAGCATCAGAACAGGCAAGTTGGACTATCTGGTTAAGTTCACAGAAGAAGTGGGGAATTTGCAAGTCTGTATAGAAGAACAGTCGCAACCCCAGCAAGCTATGTAACAAGGAATGCAGGATACTGATGCTCCAGCACACCAGAACCAGCAATCTACAGAACCAGGGGTTCATGATGACTGTGTAGTGCAGGGGGTGACAGATGGCCACATATCGGTCATAGGCCATCACTGTCAGGAGGAAGTCATCCAATGCTAGCAAGAGCATGTAAAAATACATCTGAGTCATGCAGCCTTCATAGGTTATAACTTTGCTCTGCGTCTGGATGTTCAGCAGCATCTTTGGGATGATAGTGGAAGTTAAACAGATGTCTAAAAAGGACAGATTGGAGAGAAAAAAGTACATGGGTGTGTGCAGGTGGAAGTCTGAGCTGACAACTAGGATGATGAGCAGGTTCCCAAATACAGTGATCACGTACATGGAGAGGAAAAGCATAAATATGACTGGCTGAAGTTCTGGTCTCTCTGAAAATCCAAGAAGAAGAAATTCTGAAACTCCTGTAAGGTTCCCTTATTCCATGTTGTGAAGTTAAGTACAAGGAAGAGAAAAGGTAACATGATTAATTTTCACATAAATGGGTATACCTGATATTGTTAAAATGCTAAATTCATATTTTGCAGTCAGTAAATTAATGCCAAATTCTGTGTATGGATCTGGCCCCCTATGGATCTATACCATTTCTGATAAGGAAATGTTCCTACTATTAGATTTTTCCCCAAGATTCATGTTCAAAGTTAATGATAAATTCTTTCATTTATTAATGGAGAACATATTGAGACCCAAAAATGATCCAACTAATGTCTGGGCAATCAGTATAAGGTGTTGAATAACAAAAACTCCTAAAATATTTAAAAGCCTTATATGATAATCCCACAATTAACATCATACTGAGCAGTGAAAAGGTAAAAGTTTTACCTTTTTGATTAGGAGGAAGGCAAAGGTGCTCACGTTCACCACTACTATTCCACATGGTACTGGGTGACCTAGACAGAGCAATCAGGCAAGAAAAATAAATAAAAGACATCTGACTTGGAAACTAAGAATTAAAATTATTTCTATTTGTAGATGACATGATTTTATATTAATAAAATTATAAAGACTTTACCAAAAAAACATTAGATCTGTTCAATGAAATAACAAAAGATGCAGGATAAAAGTTAACATACATAAATTAACATACATAAGTTAATATCACTTGTTTATACTAACAACAAATTATCTGAAAAGAAAATAAAGAAAATGATTCTTTTCATAACAGTATCAAAAATAATAAAATGCCTAGGAATACTTTTTAGTTACTTCTTTTAATTTAGTTTTTTATTCCTTAAATGGATAAATCAATTTAATTTTGTTTTAAATTAAGGTATCATTGATATACAATCTTATGAAGGTTTCACATTAAGAAAACTGTGGTTTCAACATTCACCCATGATATCATGTCCACACTTCCCTATTGCAGTCAATGTCTATCAGTGTAGCAAGATGCTATAGAGTCATTACTTGTCTTCTCCATGCTGTACTGCCTTCCCCAGGAACTACCCTTATTGTGATTGCTAATTATAGTGCCCCTCAATCCCCTACTCCCTCCCTACCCACCCACTCACCCAAACCTCTTCCCTTTGGTAACCACTAGTCCCTTCTTGGAGTCTGTGAGTCTGCTGCTCTTTTGTTCCTCCAGTTTTGTTTTGTTGTTATACTCCTCAAATGAGTGAAATCATTTGGTACTTGTCTTTCTCTGCCTGGCTTATTTCACTGAGCAGAATACCCTCTAGCTCCATCCATGTTGTTGCAAATGGTAGGATTTGTTTATTTTTACAACTGAATAATTTTACATTGTGTATATGTACCACCTCTTCTTTATCCATTCATCTACTGATGGACACTTAGGTTGCTTCCATATTGGCTACTGTAAATAGTGCTGTGATAAACAAAGGCGTGCATATGTCTTTTTTAATCAGGGATCTTGTTTTCTTTGGGTAAATTCTGAGGATCAGAATTAATGGATGAATGATATTTCTATTTTTAGTTTTTTGAGGAACATCCATATTGTTTTCCACAATGGTTTAACTAATTTACATTCCCACCAACAGTGTAGGAGGGTTCCACATAGGAGTAAATTTAACCAAGAAGGTAAAAGATCTCTACACTGAAAACTATAAGACATTGGTGAAAGTAATAGACAAAGATGTAAGTAAATGGAAAAGTATCTCGTGTTCATGGATAGAAAGAATTAATACTGTTAAAATGTCCACACAATTCAAAGAATGTACAATTTCAGTGCAATCTTTATCTTGATTCCAATGGCCTTTTTCATAGATTTAGAAAAATCAATCCTTAAATTCATGTGAAACCACAAAAGACCATGAATACCCAAGGCAATCCTGAGAAAGAAGACCAAACAGGGAGTTATCACACTCCCTGGTTTCAAACTACATTGCAAAGCTATAGTGCTAAAAAACAGCATGTCAATGGCATAAAAGCAAAAACCCAGACCTATGTAAAAGAATAAAGAGACCAGAAATAAACCCATTAATATGCAGTCAGTTAACATTTGACAAGGGAGCCAAGATGACTCAATGGAGAAAGGACAAAGAACAAAGTCTTTTTGATAAGTGGTACTGCAAAAACTGGATATTCCATATAAAATAAGGAAGATAGACCTTATCCTAAAGCCTTCACAAAAATTAACTTGAAAAGAATTAAAAAGCATAAATGTAAGATCTGAAACCATTAACATCCTAAAAGAAAACATAGAAAAGAAATTCTTCAGACAAATCTTCGCAAAGATTTTTTAGATTTGACACCTAGAGCACAAACAAGAATATAAAAATTAGACATGTGGGACTACATCAAAATGAAAAACAAGTACAGAAGGAAAAAAACAGTGAAATGAGAACAAAACCAATGGATTAGGGAAAAAATTTTGCAAACCACACGTGCGAGAAGATATCTAATAACCAAAATATATGAGATACTCACACAACTCACTAGAAAATAAATGCAAATAAATAACTGTGTAAAGGACCTGAATAGATGTGTCTCCAAAGAAGACATTCAAATGGCCAACAGGTGCATGAAAAGGTGCTCAACATCACTAGTCATTAGCAAAAGTTCAATCAAAGGCAAATGAGATGTAATCTCATCCCTTTTAGAAGGGCTATCATGAAAAGACAAAAGATAAGAAATGTTGGCAAGAATATGGAGAAATGTGAACCCTTTGCACCCTTGGTGTTAATGCAATTTGTGCAAATTTAATCATTTGTGGTATTTCCATTGTGTAAAATACTATGCAGTTTTCTCAAAAAAATGGAAAATAGAACTAGACTATGATCACTTCTGGGCTATATGCAAAGAACTGATGATACCTTATTTAATTGATATTTACACTCCTGTGTTCATTGAAGGCTTATTCACAATCGGCAAGACACTGAAACAACACAAGTATCTATCAGTAGAGGAAAAGATTAAGGAAAGAAACATGATGTGTATTTATATGCACATGTAGACTAGAAAACCATTCAGCCATAAAAAGAAATCTTGCCAAATGCAACAACATGGGTGGACCTTGAAAGCATTATGCTAAGTGAAATCAGTCAAAGACAAATATTGTGTGATCTCAAGTAGGTGCAGAATATCCAAAAAGTCAAAAAACACAGATAAGATGTGTGATTTCCTGAGGGAGGTGGTAGGTGGGTGGAGAAATTGGTGGTGATCATCAAAAGGTACAACCTCTAGTTCTATGATAAGTTCTGGGGAATGTAATGTACAACATGATCACTATATTTATGTTATAAATAAGAATACTGCTTTATATATATTTCAAAGATGCTATAGAACTAGATCTTTAAAAATTCTCTTCACAAGGAAACAAAAGTCTTTGTAATTATGTAAGGTGGAGGGTGTTAAGTAGACTTTTCATGATGATGCCTGAGGACAGTAAGTCATAATAAATTCATTTTATTGTACTCTGTCTTTCCAGTTAGACAGCATGATCCAAAAGAGCAGGGACTGCACCTGCTCTGCTCACCTTTGTATTCACATACACATGTGAATAGATGTGAGTTTATATGAAACAACTTTGTGAATATGAAAAATTTTGAAATAAAAAGGATGAAGGGAAAATGAAAACAACTTTAATGGAGTGATTTCAAAACAACTTTAGTAAGTAATGTTGAATGCAGGTTTAAACACTAGCTGAAACTATGCAAAATGACAGTCTCCTGTTTGGAGGGAAATAAATGTTCTCCCTGCCCTCCGATATCTTCAAAAAACAGTGACTTATACATTTTAGATGTGCAGGTAGAAAAAAAACATAAAATCTGCAGGTGGACAAAACCATCTCATAAGGCAAGAACCTCAGATGTAAGAAAATAGGTACACTTACATAAATTTTTAAGCATCTTTTGGCCAAAAATGTGCAACCAAATGCCTGTTGGGAAATAGTTATTTAAAAACTCTTTTGAAATGCTGAAACATGTAGACATCTGGGCTATAACATATGAACATATATGATCATATAAATGAACAAAAAATGATCAAATATATTAATTTTTTATCAAACTCAGTAATAGTTTAAGAAAACAACCCCAAATCTCTATCATACCAATCAGCCTAGGGAAACCCTTAAAGTGCTGTCACATTGATTGAATTTGGAATTTTCAAACAGGTAGTAAAGAAGTACTCTCTAATTTTGCTGACTGAAATCTGAAATGTCACAAGACTGGAAAACAATCTGGTACTGCTATAAATATAGAAACACAGGTATCCTTCTCCTGGGGTGTCTCAGCATATGGAGAGACATTCTGGTCCGGACTGCTCCCTGTGGTGGTGAGTCCCGGGCAGTATAGGATGTTCAGACCACCCCTGGCCTCTACTCATCCCTCAGCGCGTGACAGACAAAGACATCTCTGGACATTGCATAATGTGTCCTGGGAGAACAGTATTGCCTCCAGTGAAGAACCAGAGTTTTAACATAATCTTAAAATATTCTTGCTTATTGTTGAAATATCAAGTTACTGAGGGAGAATGTAAAAGGCTTTCAAAGTGTGAGTGATGCCAAACCAAGAAATAGTATGCAGACACTGAAATAATGAATCAGCACTGTACTACTTGATTGCAGACAAGTGCATGAGGTTTTACTGAGTACGAAGGGAAAGTGGAAACAAAATAGAAAAAACCTTCAATAAAACTTGAAGAACACCTTAGATGCTGTTCATGCATTTGTGTAAAGATGGATGAACATACATGTGTGCGTAACATAGGAAGAGAAGTTTAAAAAGAAACCACGAGCTTACTGAATAGAGATTGTCAGTAAGAAAGAAACTAGGTTAAGTAGAGTGACTTCCAAACAACTTTTGAAACAAAATTGCATAAGAATATAAAACTAACAAATAAAAGCACATAAAATAATTTAATGATAT